AAACCTGCATTAGACACTCCTTCTTGAATTTCTTTTACCAATGTTACGCAGTCACCACTGTGTCTGGTAGGAAGAAATTTGATACACTCGCAACGGTCTGCAGTTTTATGCTCGAATAGATTAAAATTACGATTTATAGGTACGTAAACATCCGTATTCTCACTGCTTAATTTCAAGTATTATTATAAGAATCAATAACTGCTTTGTATTTTATTAAAAAGTTTTCTCCTAAAATTCCATCTACTGAACATGACATGTTCTTAAAAACATAAAATTGATGTCTTAAAACTTGTCCTTCATATAGCAAATTAAGAAAAATATAACCTTCTGATTGCAATTTTCCACTAATACCTTTTATTGTTATTTTCTCATAAGATTCCTGTTTAATCAAATCATTCATACCATACATTCATTTCATACATTCAAACCATTCATATTTTATGATAATGCTCGCTCCACTATCAACTACTAGGTTCAAATTACAGTTGTTTGCTCATTGAAATGTTACGTTATTATTGGTATTATAATTTAAAATAATATGATTTCTACCTTTATTCACGAAAAAATTTTATATTTTTTCGTTCTGTAGAACTCACGCTATCTCCCGTAAAAGGGTGGTCAGTGTTCACATGTTGGACTTGTGAAGGCTGGTGCGACTAAACGTTCCTTTTTGAGTTACCTCGCTTATAGCCACGTGACCTATTTTAATTATTACCTAGATCAATGTTTTGATTAACATTTCGTGACTGATTCGAACGATGATGCACAAAGTTGGGCTGACCTGATGTATCACTACGTTAGTAGTTGTTTTAGCAACCAGTTCGTCCGTTACTTACGTTTACGTTACGTTATTGGCCATTATTATATTTTCTAACATTTAATACATGATTCTGTGGCGGTGATCGAGATTCCTCATCGACCGCGGCTCTGATCGCTTCCAGTAATGATTCGAAATTACGAGACGCAATTATCGTACTACGACGTGTTTGACAAACCATCTGCGAATCGTTTCAGAGCTAATTTCTCGTTCAGAAGGCGAAGAACGTTAAAACAGTTGTCATCACCATCTGCTTGGGCTAAAGTCAAACTAATAAACAATTCTTCTAGTTCCATACCAAACCATTTTATCGACCTATTCCTTGTTTGGTACGTAATAATTGTGATTGAAGAGCTACTGGTGATTTCTTTTGAATTAAATGCTTCTTCATATCAACAATCAAGTCGTCTACGGTGGTGTAAGCAGATTGTAGCCCAAGTTTAGCACTCTGTGACAGTCTAGTTTTTAAGATAAAATTAATGAGAGCTTGCTTATGTTTATTCTCAATCATAGAGCTGTACCATTGAAGACCGTCCATCAATTGTTAAGTTATATCTCCTTGACCGTTCATGACCGGTATCAAGGCGATAGCTGTTTTAATATCAAAACAAGAACCCATTTTTGTATCTGATACTGGTTCTTGAGGATCTGAATTGCAAACGGTTTCCTCTACACTAGGCCTATACGTCACAAAATTTTTTATTTCGGTCTTAAAGAAACTATTTCTTTCGTATATCTATTTATAATCTACCAATCGGATTCACTTATTTGAGCCGCGAGATTATTATATATCAGGCACAATTTCCTGAAATTCTTCGTATAATTCATTAGCCTCGAAATATTAACATAACCACTACTTTACACTGACGGATGACCAACGAATCAGCGCTCGAAATGCGTTTCGTTTCTGCAAGTACAATTTTGAATTGTGTACTTTCAACTTTGTACCTACAGGGTCTCGAGCACGTCAAGCTTGACACTTAAGTTTTAAATCCATCTCTATTCTGTTTGCGATACGAACGGTAAAAAGTACAAAGTGTTAAGCTTGACGTGCTCTTGACTGTACGATTTTTCATGTATCGGATAAAATATATCGATAGTACATATCGATACCGAAAGATAAGAAAATATCGGATTGATTCGATATATCGTGAGCATATAGTATATATATTTTCTTGAATATCGATCGCTCCTAATTTACCTTCGTTTATCATGCAAGTATGCCTTCATACACGACATTTTAGTCGTGAAGGAACGAAACATGTCACAAGTACTAGATGCTAGTGTATTAAAATGTTTTATCTCTATATCTGAGGAGGGTTTTTTTCTAATCCAGTAGCAGGCTTCTTAATCTTTGCTATATTCTGACAACCACATTTACGCAACAATTTTGCTTCTCTTTGCTTCAGCTAAATTGTAATCTAGATTTTGAAATATTTTACCTCGAAATATAGTTTTGTTTAAATAAATCTATCTCAAATGCAATGACAAAACTTTGCGCGATGTCACCTATAACGTCTGATGAAGTACTAGCTGGGTCCTTCTTCAGCTTCCATTGGCCACTTTGGGTAAATGTCCTGGGCCTTGCGATGTATAGCGTTCCCCTCTAGTTTCTGTTAGATAACCAACCGATATTACCGATATATGTCTATATAGTTAATTTTCCGAAAATCAAACGGTAATTATAGACTTTTTTGTTTATAATATCTAGTGACGGGTCGAACAAGTCGTGCTCTCTCTCCATAACTCAGAGCTGTAAATCACAAAGATCTGTGTAGCACTGCCACTGCGCTCGTCACCCTGAGACATAAGTTGACAAGTCCCGATTGCCTGTAATTTCACTAGCACCCTTACCCTTCAAAACTGGAACACAGTAATGCTGACATTACTGCTTGGCGGCAGAAATAAGTAAGGTGGCAGTACTAACCTGGACGAACTCTTTTACAAGGAGCTTTACTGCTGCTAGACTTTTGTATGCCAGATAAAGGTCTCAAACTAGGGAATTTCTTGTACTATGAGTACCAAAGCAAAAGAATTCACTCCGGGGCACTTCCTAGAACACCCAGACCAGACCAATATAGAAGACTTCATTTCGCAAATCGGTCCTTAACAGGAAAATAAACCGGGACCTCCTCATTTGGTGTCCACAGTGCAAACCGTTGGGCCAACGAGGTCGTCAAACAAAATATATAATACAAAGTTGTCAGCCTTTTTTGGTATTCTAATCAAGGGTTAATAAACACTGTCTAGTTGCCTACCCGCACGGCAATTCCCATAAGTTATTTAAAATGTTTATGCAGCTAATGACGACAGTAAAGAAATGATAAAAATAACAGATGTAAAAAAATCTAGTCTTTTGTTTGTTGTTAATAATATAAACTATCACACCACAATCAAAGGGACTCCGTTAATCTAACGTGTTCAGGACCACAAACAGGTTTTTTTTTAAGCACGGCCCTGAGTACCAGTATAACGCTAGAAAGAAACCATCAACTTCAAGTCGATTCCGTATTCCATTTAGATGTATCCCGATCGCTTGGGATTTGTCTTAATCTGGTTTTCAGTGCGAACAATTCGTAACGATTGCCTAGCATTTGTCTTAGGAAAAATGGTTGAGATAAAACTTATCCAAATTGTTTTATTGTTCTTGTGTAATTTCGCTCTATGGCTTTTAAATGTGTTGATGGATTAGGCTATATATTGTGTGAGAGCATTGGGGACTAGAGATAGCATTCTGATGTTGGTGACAGCGGTCGGCACTCACGACATACTGTTTATAATGAATTTCTATCAAGCGTTGGCGCTTGCGTTTGTCAGCATGAATTTGTGTCGAGCCGTGGCGTACGCTTTGGTCAGTATTTTGTATCGAACGCTGGTGCTTGTGTTGGTCAGCATGAATTTTTATCGAGCGCTGGTGCTTGCGTTGGTCGGTATGAATTTGCATCGAGTGCTGGCGCTTGCGTTGATCAGCATGAATTTTTATTGAGCGTTGGCGGTTACGTTGGTCAGTATGAATTTTTATCGAGTGCTGGCGCTTGGGTTGGTGAGTACGAATGTTTATCGAGCGCTGGCGCTTGCATTGGTCAGCCCTTGATACAAATTCATACTAAACAGTAGGTAGCGGTTGCCGATCGCTGTCGCCGGTCGTGCTCACCAACATTGTAATGCTACCTTTACGTGAATAATCTGCAATCGGAGGATTTTAATATCCGCTTCTAGTTGCCAGTTACTTGTACCCAACACAAGGCACACGTTTGCGCGGCGCCTAAAAAAACAAAAGATTTTATAGGACTAAAATAATTCTTAGTATAATTAATAATTTATTTGTAAAATGTAAAAGCTTGGTGTAGCGTTGACTTCCAAACTAGTAAGACACTGTATCTTGAAAGACAGATTCTTCAGGTGGAGTCTCGTAGTATCTCTCTTTCTTTGTATGTATATCATGTGCGTATTTGTGTGTCAACAACAAGAGAACTACGCTACACGCTGTTAAAGAAAATGTTAACTGATGGCATAAAATATTTCACGAAATTGTTAAGTCCTATTGCTGAAATATTGGCAAAAAATATGACTAGGGCATGAAATACAGCAAAATCTCACAAATTGATTAAATACGTATGCATATATTAATGTACATTAGTGTAAAGCAAAAAAATTTATATGAATATCTGGAAATGTTTCTTACAATATTTTGTAATACTATATAATAATATAACATTATATAAATAAACAAATATAAGCCTGAATGTATTTCTTAAACGCAAACAAAATTTGTTTTTATTCTATCTCTGTCTTCCCATCCGCCGGTTTGCACAGGCCTAAGTAAAGTTTAGATGGACTCTTCATCATCAAAGTCGTGTCCATTCAAAGAATTTTGTGAAGACCCAAGTGAGTGAAAATCTGAACGGGCTACGTTGAGCAAATACAGTGTTTAAGGTAACATATCTTAACCTAACTGTGAAATAGTTCTTGGCATTATCGTAACTCACCAGTTTTGGGAGCTTTTCATAAATTATAAGCTTAAAACTTTCCAGGCTCTTATTTAATTGCGTGCTTAAATACTATGTTAAAAATGACCGTAGACAATAATAACCTTGACAATATAACATTTTAATAGAAGAAAGTTCTTTCTTTTGTTTAAATTTAGGTATTGGCAAAAAAACCGCACGTTGGTCAAAGTTTCCTATTTCCAAACAATACTTTCAATCCAGTCAATAAAGCTGGAAACCCTGGTATAGACACCGGGGGTGTTAGGTAATGCGCAACCATAGCCGAATGACGTCACACCTATGAGGTAATGGATTGCTCCTTGTGAGGACGGAGGTAGGTTTATTCGCACTTGTAAAGGACCTCCAGAATCACCCTGAAAGCGATGATTAAAATTAAGGAAACGGAATCATTGTTTTCTTTGATAAACAGACTTTTTAAATTTTTTCTTATTTTGGTATAGTTTTCTAAAGTTAAACGCAAGAACAAGACAATATTTTTTTTATTTTTCAAATATATTTTTTAATTGGCTACTGGGTGTTGACGTTAGTTATGTATGGTATAGCTAATCAAAATTTCTATAAAAAGAGAAAGTATATCACGAAGTAAAATATAATTTTTCTGAAAAGAAAACTAGCTCTAACCTGACAAGCGTCAACACCTCCAGCGAGTATACCAGCACACAGCTGATGGTCGTACATTCCTGACCAAAATCTACTTTTCTTTGGAATCAACAGTTCATCGCAGGTCTTCGGTTCCAAAATGTCAATTTCTGCTGCTTGGAGATTTGGTGATGTTGTGCAGTGTGCTGGAAAAATAAGACATAGACTCAAGAGATTCAGCAAGTAAATTTAGAACTGTTAATAGAAGAACATGTAAAATAATATTGTTACGTATAGTTTAACCAATAAACGTCAGTTAGTAACGAGACTACCGTGCTTCATTCATGTGTTACCCCCCATATGCATATTTAACAGTGGCATCGAGACTTGTGTATCGACTGACGCGTGCGTTTTGTATTAAATATTACAATGCCGTTCGGTCATGTCGAAATTTTATAATAGAATGGAATGGACAAGACTGAAATGGAATAAAATGGAATGGAACGAAGTAGATTAGAGCACTTTTACTGCAACACGATTCAACATAAGAATGCAGAATCGGACAAAATTAAAGAAACAATGACAATGAAGTTTTTCGAAAATAAGTTAATATAACATAAAAAAACATCAAAAATAAGTTAAAATTATTGAATACCTCTTGATTTTTATCTACGTCTTTATATTTATATTTATATGTTACAATTTTAGTTGGTTCCAACGCTTCGATCATTTATGTGTGTTCTTGTACAATCACATTCATCATAAATAATAAACATAATCTGAAATGGATTAATACCTGTTTCAATAACTCCCCATCCAGTTGAAATGGCTTTAGTTCCAAGTGGACTTGTATCGAATGTCCTCCATAAACAAGCCGGTTGGACATTACTAGTGAACTTCACGTTATTTTCCAGTTCAAACAGAGCTATGTCATAGTATTGCTTTGGTGATTTATATTTAGGGTGTTTGATAATTTTGATAATATTTACATCGTTTGGTGGGAGGCCGTTGGCTTCCTGGAATTTAACGACATTATTCCAATGTATTCAAGAAAATTAAAGTGTGCACGGATGGAGCCTCTCTATTCCTTTCCTGATGTCTGGCGCACTCTGGGCCACTATCGGCAAGTATCTTACGCCGATTTCTTTTCAATGTATGCCATTGATACGAGAAGAAGAAAAAGATGAAAAGCTAATCTAATGAATGCAATAAAAAGAGGTCGACTTTAAACAAACTTTTTATCGACACAAAAAATGTGGTCTTGTGGCAACATTCTCGAGTTGACACGTAACAATTTCCACGTAAAAATAATTTACATGTAACAGATTGTCACGGGGAAATTAATGATTTAAATGTCCCTGAATAGTCAACCTACAATATCTATAATATTCTTGTCTCCCAGTCTCACAATCTTCGGTACGAGATCAGCAACTGAAGTATCTCTGTCAGAAACCATACTGCAATGGGCAGCACTTAGAACAAATTTGGAGCTGATCAGGGCACTTCCACATTTAAAAATCCAAGTTCCTTGGGCTGCTTTCCAACCCACTGCTGCCTGTAAAGTATTATGACTTTATAGAACAGTATTGTGAAAGGTATAAGAAGTAGAAGAAATTAAGTCTTAACTTTTCAAAATTTTCTGTGTTACTTTAAGTGTCACTGCAATTCAGACAAAATTAAATTAACTTTGGCAATGACCTGATTCAAAATCTCGCAATCAGTTTTAACTTTATAAGTCGCTCCTCATCTAGAGATTTACATCAATAATAAGAAGTCTTTTTGGAACAGATATATTAGGGGCTAAAATATAATACTACTGTTCGAAAGTTCTGGCCGTTTTGAAATGATATAAAGCATTTCTAGCGTAAGGGTCAGATTAGAAATTTTCAAATAAAATTTCTACAAGTTCATTCATTTCTACAAGTTTTTTGGTGTTATGTTTGCGTTTTGTTTAATTTTACATTCAATTTAAAGTCCAATATGTACCTATTCTGCCAAAATCAATGCACCAATGCAGTGACGTGCATCAAGCGGATACAAGTAACAAAAGTACTGTGTTTTTGGTTTGCCAGATGAGCAGGATAAATTAACCATTTTTTATCTCCCGGCAAATGAGCTTCGTGGACGAACTATGGATGAAGTCGATTCATCGCAATCTAAGGAAGAATTAGCAGCAAATCGTTAATAGGTGTTGTTGTGGCCAAGTATCCGTTTATTTTGTATAAGAAAAACCTATTCGCTTAATAATAACCCATTGGCACCAAATCAATAAAAAACTCGAAAAATGATGTCGACGTTATTATTTCAAAACCCTCTTTCATATCAGAGATTTCAAACAGGCCAAGACACAAGAAAATTTATATTCTTAATTTGTTTACAGCCACCTGGAATACGCATCGCAGATATGGAGTTCTCAATATCTTGCCTATATATCGCGAATTGAAAATGTGCAAAGAAGATTTATTCAGTTTTTATATTTTCGAACTAGGGAGCGGTACGAGTTAAACTTTTGCCACTGGAGGTGCGACGTCAGTGGACGCCCCGGAACTCGTGCCCAAGAATTATCTTAGAGCCCTTACAGAGACTCTTAGGTTTAATTTACTTCTGTGCGTACCTCCGGCCTCTTCGAACATTCAGCAGATTGAATATGTCTCGTGTGCGAGTAACAGCTTTAACGTATTGTCTAAGCAAGTTGGTATTGACCTTTTTAACACTAGTATTGCATTGGTAAAGCGTCTTATTAGTAGTTTGTTTTTTGGCGAGTAGGTCATTATTAAGTGTTGCGAATAGGTCGTAATGTAGTAGCAGTATAGTTACTAGTTATGTTATAATTTAATGTTTATTAATATCAACTTAATGTGCGTCTATCGGTAAGGCACTATAATTGGGTTGCCGTTGATCTTCCAAAAATTTAAATTAAAATAAAATAAAACTTTAGTCTCACCATGTGTGGAAATTCTCCCGGTAAAGCATCCCGTCCACCTATTTCTAATAAGTGGGTACATTTCTTATCGCGTTCTTTCTGATCTTCTCGGTGTTTTATATCCCAAATGTATTCATAACATTCTGAAAATAGAATACAATGATTATTTTCATTTGAATATTACGGCATTTAGTAAAGCGCAAGACGCGCCCCAATTATGTTATAACTGAAGGACACGGAAGTAGGCGAAAACAATATAAATCCATGGAAATTCGAAGCGAATATTGTCATTCTCGAAAAGCGATATTAGATTGCAAACTCTTACTTAAAGGTGTCTTGTACAAACGCTGCGTGTAGTGGCGCGGCGGTCGCGCGTCTGTTACGCTTCAATAAGTTTTAGGTGACTTATTGCGACTGTGGCAGTGCAAGTATGCTTCTAAATAGTATATGAAAGTTAGCAGTGTCTACTCTGCAGCGTTCCTTCAAGCGTCCAATTTGAAGGCGCCCTTAGAGCCAGTGCAAACCGGCGGCGGACATTAATTTATCAATGTATATTTTATGCTATTGCAGTTGTAATAAGGTATAAATTTCAATGCTCTGAGATTTACAGATAAATGCACCGCGATGCTCCGAGGTCGCTCTCAGAGCACTGCAATTTAATACCTTATGGCAATTGCAATAGCATGAAACATTCCTATTATTATATTCAGGTACATTCCTTACTTTGTTCACTAATCCGTCTTCCTGGTTTACTGAAGTCAGGCATTTCGGGTAATGGTTTTCTACAAGGATTCGTCTCATCTGCATAGTAGTCTGCTAAAATTTGATCGAATTCACTCAACGTACTCGATTCCGTGACAGAATTCTTCTTTGGTGGAGGTTGTGGAGTGAACACGGGAACCTAATAAAATTTCTACCAATAATTGACCAACATTAAAGGGGGAATATAATCTTAGTAATTATACCATTTTCTTCAAATTTAAACGGGGCCAATACGAAGGTTCCACCATCTTGAACCATTGGCGAACCCGTCAATTGTTTCGTATTCGGGCTGGCCAATCGGAGTGCAGTTGTCACCGTAATGATTTGGCAGAATAGTTTTTAAACAAATTAAATGACATTTCGTCTCTATTTCTGGTTATATACTCGAAGCCTAGCGATATCGCTTCAATTCATATATGAATGACACGTGTGACACGCGCTATGCGACGCGAGTGCACCGTGAGATTATGCGAAAGTATGTGTCCGTATAGGGCGTGCGGCTGGCATGCTTACATACAAGCCGTGATGCTAATTTTGTATGAAGTTACCAATATACTTGACTTATTATATTTATGATACTGGACACAAATATCGCGGAAAAGATTTTTTCGTATGTAATGACTTTTAGATGAAAATTATTTATAAAGAAGGCCCAAATGAAAATATTATAATTAATTGAGTGAAGAAATAGATTTCTCACACATGGCGCTACGGCAAAAGAAGTCGTTAAAAACCAAAAAACAAAGATCTGCAAGAAGCACACAGAAAAATTCGTAAGGTCCGCTAGTTCGTTCCGTGGCTTAGTTGGCATAGCATCTGGCACGGTTTGCTGGCAGACGTTGCTTCGAATCCAGCAGGATCGAATGAATTTTTTCCAACTGTTCGGTCTTTGTATTAATAATTACAACATAGCTGTGCAGTAATTAACCGACTTCAAAAAAGGAGGACTATCTCAATTCGACTGTATGTTCTTTTTTTTGCATGTATGCTACGCGATAACTACGGTATTTGTGAACCGATTTTCATGATTCTTTTTTTGTTGGAAAGGAGGTACTTTCATAGTGGTCCCATTTCATTTTGAAGAAAGTCATCCACCTAGAAGGGTGACTGTTCACGCATGAAGTTTCATTTCTATAAATATCGCCTAACTGTAATTTAGGAGCAATTACTTTAATGATTGATTTTGCTGTTTCTCCAATTCAAGGCGTTTTTCTCTCAATATACTTTGAGTAGTGAGAACCGATTTTTATTATCTCCAGTGTCAAGTACTGTGTAGTGGCGAACTGGGCGATATTTCAATAAAACTTAGCAAAAAGATGTAATTCCACATACTTTTGAGGTCGGTTTTTTTAGTAGTCTGTACTGAGATTATTTTACAAAAATAATTGAATATCATAGTGGTCAAACAATGTGACATTTAATAAAGTCAAAAATTTCTATTATAATTATTTATTAATAGCATTTCTGTATAAAAGCTGTATAAGTCTGTAGTGCATATCTTACTTGCTCTGTGGCTGTTAAGTCTTCTGCAACACCCCATATCCATGGTTCATCAACTTCTTCCTGAAAAGACGCATCATAAAACAATTAAAAGTCAAAAACACACTTACAATAGTCAAAATCAAGCCAAACACAAATCATGTTTATTTCATAGATAAACAAATTACACTTGAAACCGTCATGTTGGTTAAATTCTACTGCTCATTCGTAAAGCAGATTTCATTAGAATAATGAACAGGAAACTCCAGGCGTTGCTTTTTGTGAATATACATTTGAATACATTTATCATTTACAAAACTTGTTAAATAAATATAATTATATTAATTTATTAGTAATTAAAGAATTGAATATCAATTCAATAAAAACTTAAATACAGTGAATAGCGACATCTCTAGCTGGGGCTGGTAGCTGTAAAGGCATCTAACTGGGTGACGAAATACTTTCATAGATTTCTCGTAGATGGCGCTACGGCTAAAAAGTCGTTGAAAACCAAATATAAAGATCCGACAGACAAGCACATAGAGAAATTCGCGAGGTTCGCTTCGTGGCTTAGTTGGCATAGCATCTGGCACGATTTGCTACAAGACGTCGGTGCGAATCCGGCCGGATCAAAGGAATTTTTTTCTTCGATCCAGTCTGATGAATTCGAGTGATATTTTAAAATTTTATCACACTAGCGAACATGGTGAGCTCCGTGACGCCACATTTTTATGTATAGCCGCAACGTCACAGCTGATTTTAAAACATTTGCACAGTAATTTTATCAAAGTAAAAATTGAACGCGACAAACAAGATGAAAAGACATTTTTTGTTTCATGATATATCACATACGCAATTTCATATCGTTGACCTTATTCTTCAAAATGTATAACAATAGTTCATCCCCAAACAAGCAAAATTGTTTCATTGTTTTCGCGGCGATGATTAAACGACAGAGAAGAATTTTGTATGGCAAATTCTACAGCGCCCCCAGGGGTCACAAGAAGAAACATAACGAGGTAGCATAACTGTCACTGTAATTGCCATTTCTTATATTTATAGGATAACTGGCACACTTAAAGATCTATACTGCCTCAAATGGCTTTGGTTGATTCAGCATAACAGTATTAAATCAATAACTTTGGAAAAAATATATAGTAAAATTGAGGATATGCACTGATTACTATATGGTGTGATAATACGGTTCCTAAAAATTTTACCCCCTCAGTCGCCCAGTGGAGTTACCGGCGTTAATTGCGCCAATATAGGATAACTGTTCAGTTATGGTAAATTGGCGTAATTGACACTTTTTAGAAACAAAATTTAAGTGCCATTAATTCGAAAGTTTCTGACAAGGGCATTATACGAACAGTTTTGCACTTTCTATAGATTTATTGTGATCACTGCTTACCCTTTTCGAGCGTGTTGAATTTCCAGGTGTGTCTAAAACTGCCCCTTTTGTGACATGAATTGTTATGACTGAAAGTGAATATTTTTTAGCACATTAGACACGGACTCTAACCTTCCCGTTATATCGTCGTAACGTTGTATTTATCGTTGGACGACAGTCGCTTCTAGCTGTTCCCACTGGATCGTGACGATAATTTATTTACGGCAGCCGCAATGCTGTTTACACGACAGAATCGTTTGATGCACAGCTGTCCAGTCGCATCTATGTTCTTTTGGAAGTTCGTAGTGTGTGTTCGCTCCCGTGTGAAATGGAAATGGATGAAGAGAAAATGTTAATAATGAATTGAAGATAAATTTGAATTTAAGAATGATTTTACCACAACCACAACGACAAATAAAACGTGACGACAAGTAGTAGTAGCTACCGTCGTCACATTTTACTCGTGAAGTTTTGTTTATCTTCCGACTGCTGTCGTTGTAGCACTTCCCGTTGTCTTGAATTGTCTGTCGTTGTAATGTCAAAAAAGTCGTGAACGACAGTTAATTGTATTGTACTATATGTAAACAACTTAATTTAAATATACAAGGCACGACATATGACAACTGTGTGACTATCATCATTACGACGTAGTGGGAACGCACCCTAATATTTAATTTTAAACGGGGCAAAAAGATACTCGATATAGAGTTCAGAAACGCAAGACTTGAGTATTAACAAGATTAACCTTGTTAATACTACGTACCTAAATTAACAAATACGAAAAACTTGAAATACTTCATCGGTACTGAATATATAATAGTGAACAAAAATCATAAACAATATTTAAAATATTTTCTCAATAAAAATATTATCACTAGAATAGACACGTCTGCCAACAAAATCAAAGAACGTGGAACTGGTATTAATGAAACAAGTTAATTGCGTTAACTACTTACTTAATTAGTTCAAAGTCTATTAACAACAATAAGTAATTTATAAAGTAACGATTTGGTAAACGTGAGCCGTGGTAGCCTAATGGTGCGACCTACTACTTCTCAAGCAGAAGCAGTGGGTACGAATCCGGGATCGCACCTTTGAGTTCTTAATGTGAAATTGACCATGAGCATTTCGATAAAGGAAAACATCGTGTCGATGATCCGGCTCTCGTAGGACCAAAGAGTCGATGTTCTAGATCGATGGTGCTCTTGATCTGGATCGGTGGACTGTATTTCTTCAGGTTCATGCTCTTCTCGGGACCAGGATCAATAATAAAACACTTGTTCAACTGCTTACTACTGCCTACGTTTATTGAAGGTTTGGGTCCTACTTATATACTAATTGTTGTCTCTCAACTAGTATGGGTGTCGGCGAGAAGGCGGTCGGCGCGGTGCGCGGGGCGCGGGGGGCGGTAACTCACTCGGTGATGGTGACGCACTTTCGTTCGGGGCGCTGGGCGCAGTGTTCTTGTGATATCGTGATGAAACTTACACGTCAAAGAAGGTTCACAAACCTCGAAAAACGTATGAAGTTCCCAACCCGCATTGGGCTTAAACCCTCGCCTGAGAGGAGACCCGTACTCTGCAGCGGGACGTACAAATGGTTTGACGATAGTGGCGATAGAGAGATGAATACCATTTACGCAGGATTTTTCTTTTTTCTGTGTGACAATGAAATAAAACCAAAAAGTTTTTTGAAGTGGTTGTTTTATTTTTAGGCTCTCTAATATCAATTTAAATACATTATTACATGATTTATTTCGTGAAAAACGTTAATATTTTAAGTAAGGTAAAGCAATTAGCGCTCTGTCAGGCGACCCTCTTAATTCGATTTTCGGTAAGACCAATTTATGTAACGGTTTATTAGAATTTGGTTCTGGTGTGTACAAGGTTTTGTTACACTGTTCAGGTGAGAACCACGCAAGCATAGTTTTGTGAGTAGTGAGTCGCGTATGTATGTGTATATTAGACTGAAATTCAGTTGGGGCGCCAGATGACCGTATTTCATTCATTTGATTTTAACCCTTTGTAGGGGGTGTTATAGACATATAGTGTTAATAAAGCAAGAAACGTGACACGCGCATCTAATAACAAAGTGACCACTTCCATCATCCCTACCTTTACTCGCACTGGCACGACTCACGGTGCGACCGAAATGCAGTCGTAATTAAGCGAGTGAGTCGGCAGACAACTCATTTTCACTATGTCTTTGTTGCAGATTTATGTTTTTTGTTTTGACGACTCTCTTGTCGAAGCGCCATCCGTGAGAAATGTATTTCTTCACTCAGAGAATTCAATCATTATGCTTTTAATTATAATCATTAATATAAAAATCAAAGAACTTTCAAGTGAGTTTTCTCCAAAACTATATAAAATTGGCACACTGCTATAAGTTTCGGTCTAAAAGTCCGGTCTAGACAGGATTTTTGAATACTAATATTTATTTGTTCCGTTACGTGATATTTCTTATACACAAATAGCAATCAAACACCGATTGTAACGGTCAGGGGCAGTTACGTATGCCTGTTCAATAAATAGCGTACCTTCAACATTTAATTGCGTGTTACCGTAAATTACCGTAATTTAAAATTGGTAGCGTATTTGTAAACAAACCAAATGGCGTACTCGGTCCACCTTTACATCTGCATAATATGACCTTTGCACAATAAAGTCACATATGATCATGCGTTAAAAATACTTTTATTAAATGAAAGTGTTAAAAATAATAACAACTTCATGAAATAACGCCTTGGTCCCGATCCTTCACAAAAAGGGGGATAAAACAAATTTGTCCAATTACCGTCCCATAAGGCTTCCCTTTCAGGTCTATAAATTATTTGCAAAGTCATATGTCACAGACTGACTATCGACTCTCGACGAGTACCAACCTGTCGAACAAGCTGGCTTCCGGAATGGATACTCAACAATAGACCACATCTGCCTCCTTGGCCGAACGGTTACCATGCCGGACTGCCACGCAGAGGTCTCGGGTGCGATTCCCCGGAGTAATATTTGTGAGGCCTATATTTATTTTTCTTGTGAGTTTGGGTGTAATTTGTGGTTGTTTATTTGTGTGTCCATGGCATCCGCGATACAGGTGTCCCTAGTGCGAGGCTATGAGTGTGTAAAAAAAATCGAAACTCTGACAGTGCATGAAGACAAGGTCTACAATCAATGTGTCTTGATCGATCCTCACCTACGGTGCGGAAGCATGGCCGCTTACTAAGCAAAATATGCACAAAATTTAGGAAGGAGTGCTCGATATTAAAAAAATATCGATATATTTATTTTATTTGTTCGTTTATTTGTGTTCAGGTAACAAAGACCGATAAATACATACCTTATAGACTAACATACATAATAATACACTAAAAACCACTACTGACTAATTATTATTTACACGTATTGTCTGCAGCGTGTGACGCAACGTGGGTGTGGACGCAATATATGCCCTCGATATCGTATCATTCGGTATCGATATATTTTATCCGGTACATGAAAAGTGGTACAAAGATGAAGGTACACAATTAAAAGTTGTACTTGCAGAAACGAAACGCATTTCGAGCGCTGATTCGCTGGTCATCCGTCAGTGTAACGTAGTGGTTATGTTCTCAAGGGCTAGCCCACACATATAATAACATTGACAATGATATTGCTTGTGTGCGGGCGATATTGTTGTGTTGGGAATATAGACAAACTTGGATTGTCGTTAATATTGTATGTGTGCGGCTGGCCAATGACAATGAATACATTTGATTGTTGTGTGAAAACTGGTTCGTTTTACTTATTTACTCTTAGTAAAATTTCCTTCCTTTTTAACCGAATTCAAAAAAAGGAGGAGGTCCTCAATTCGTCTGTGTTTTTTTGTATGTATGTTACGCGATAACTCCGGTATTTGTGAACCGATTTTGATGATTCTTTTTTGTTGGAAAGAGGGTACCTCCACAGTGGTCACATTTAATTTTAAAGAAAATCATCCACCTCTATGGGTGGCTGTTCACGCATGAAGATTAATTTTTATAAACAGCACCTAAATTTTATTATAAGAAGCCATTGGCTTACAATTATATGGACGTCGGGTCCGCGCTAAAAAGTGCCCGAACTTATAGGGCGTTAAAATCGTATACAGAGCGTCATTCACACTTTAGTCTTCGTTTGTTCGACTGACAGCGAAGCAAGCAAAATTAGACAGTACTGCGATGACATTACAATTTAAATTCAACGTTTTAGCTTTTTCATATTCCTTTACATGTCACTACGTTTAAATAGGTTGACTTGGGACATTTTTTTCGTGGTTTTTGTATTAGACCCGTCGTCCATTTATTTGTAAGTCAATGAAAGGAGCAGTTATTTTAATGGTTGATTTTGCTATTAATTCTTCCTCCAATCGCTCCTCCTCCATGTCCAAATCAAGAATTCAATTCAAGGCGTTTTTCTCTCTCAATATACTTTGAGTAGTGACAACCGATTTTTATTATCTCCTGTGTCAAGTTCCGTATAGTGGCGAGCTAGGGGATGAATCCGGGTTTGCGCACTTTCCGGTAACCGACTTCAATGAAACTTGGCAAATAGTTGTAATTGCACGTACTTTTGATGTCGGTTTTTTTAGGAACCTGTACTGAGATTATATCTTTTTGTATTATTTACGATACATGGAAAATATCTATGTTTTGTACCGATATATCGCAAAATATCGATACAACAAATCGATATATCATATCGGAAAAAATATCGATATTTTTTTACATGAACACCACTAAATTAAGGTGGCACAAAGAGCGATGGAGCGTTCTATGCTATGCATTTCTCTCGTGGATCGTGTACCAAAGTCGATGGCGTGGATAATCACATCACGAGGTTAAAGTGGTAGTGGGCGGGACATTTGGCTAGATGAGAAGACGGACGATAGAACAAAGCATTCACAAAATGGTGGCCAAGAGGAGCAAAGAGACCAGTGGGCAGACCACCAGCCCGATGGACTGACGATATCGTCAGATTTGCGGGATCACGCTGGATGCTAATGGCGCAGGATCAAGAAAAGGCCTTTGCCCAATAGTGGGTTGATGTTGGCTGACCATGATGATGAAGACATGAAGCAAATTATGTACATGTGAAGTTTTATAACTCTTATAGAAGCATAAAAGAGTTATCAACTAATTTCGTTACTGGAATCTTTCAACCTCTCTCCAGAAAAGTTAGTTGTTATTTTGCAGAAGTGACTTTATTATACTAAGTGTGCGTTATGTGTATAATTGTGTAACGATGCGACCTCTTTTATCGTCATCATATCTCTTTGTCAATGTTTTCTTTGGTTCCTGGTCACTTACTTTTCAAATTTTGATTCGATTTAATTCTTTTCTCCGTCATTTTTAACTTTGCATCCTTCCGTCGTCACTCCTCACAAAATTCCCGAAGAGAACAGACGGGTCCTTCGATCATGTTAACCTAACTGGTTCAAAACAGTTATATACAGAGTGTAATCGTTAAGTGTGTATATAAGAGATATCAAAAAACTTTCAGTATGTTAGTAGTACCTAATGAGTAAATCGACTTAATTTTTTTTTTTTGTAAAACTAGAAATAACCAAAATTTTAACATTAAACGCTCTCATACAATAATTTAATATGATATTCGTAGAGAGGCTTTGGTTTTCCTACTGTAAGAGGTAACAAATAAGTTAAGAGATAACCAAACTGCTATAAATAAAGTAATAAGACTATTTTTTAATGAATGAAAATATAATGGCATAGTCAATTATTTGGTCAAGTGTGAGTTGTCCATAAAATGAATAAAATTGACAAATTTTTTTTAGTGCTGAGCGACTCAGTTTCATGTAAGGATCATTTCATTGTATGGGACGAAAATATCGGGACGGCAGAAGAGGGTCAAATTTAATTTTAAAACTTTTTTTCGTACAAAATCATACTTTCGATATCAGTTTAAAGCTTTTTGATATCTCTTACATTTAAGGAATAATCGCCTGGGCACACTTAACGATTATACCCTGTATATACGATTACAGGCCTTTTGGGCTTTTCTTCTCCTATTCTTTCACCTTTTTCCTACATTGTTATTTATACTTTCTACAATAAATTCGTGTGGACTGAGCGTTTCTATCATTATTACGCAAGACCCATCGACAATTGTAACGAATAAGTATTTGATATATTTTTCCTTAATGAAGGCTTATATAATGTGTGCGGTAGTTGGTAAGCACAAGAGCAGACAACACGATTTGTATTTCATATTCATTTATTCATTGCATCATAAGGGTAATATTTGTTCTTAAAATAATATAAAGCACTGCCATGTACCCCTGCAGGGCACCACTATTTGTTTAATTTAAAATAAATTTCATCCTTGCCAACTAAAATCTAAAAAATTAAATGCAATATCAAATTATTGTTAAGATATGTAAAAAATGTAATTAAAGTATTAATAATGTAAGTTAAGACAGTATGAAAATTAAAACTAATAATAATAAAAAAGTAGTAATAATTGAAAAATAAAAAAAAATTGAAGAAGAAGAAAAAATACTGAATGGAACCGACAAATTTATCTTCTCGTTGTATAAATAAAATTAATCACATCATTATTCACAATAACATTCATAATTTTTTTTTTAATTTTCAAATATTGTTTTCTTAATTCATCAACGTCAATTTCATCGATCATTTTTGAGTTACGACAGTATTTGGTTTCATATTATGCGATGTCATGTATATTCAGCTAAAGTTAAAGCTACTATGTCTGCACATTATGAACACTTTTGTGACATTTTTCTATTTCCAAACAATACTTTCAATCCAGTCAATAAAGCTGGAAACCCTGGTATAGACTCCGGGAGTATTAGGCAATGCGCAATTGAAGCCGAATGACGTCACTCCTACGATGTAGTGAATTGCTCCTTGCGAGGACGGCGGCAGTTTTATTCGGACTTGTAAAGGACCTCCAGAGTCACCCTGAAAGTAATAATTAAAAATAATACATATGAGTAAAATAAAAATAATAAAATACATTTCTTTTTTACTTTAATGAACTTACGATTTCTAACCGATTTCTAAAAAGGAGCATGTTCTCAATTGCACTATATTTTTATTTTTTAGTTTTTTTGTTTATGTTACACGATAACTTTGTGAACCGATCTTGATGATTCTTTTTTTATGGGAAAGAGGGTACCCCGGTAGAGGTCCCATTTACTAATATTCCACTTCTGACCCCTCGTTTTTTTTGCAGTACAAACACCGTGTGAACGATTCTCTATCTAATGTATGCGCCACTGTTTATTCGGTTCGGATTTATACTGCAAAAAAACGTGCAGTACAATGCCGCGTGAACGGGGGGTAAGAGTGGCAATTTAAGAGATGAATCCGGTTTCGCGCACTTTCCGGTATTCGACTTCAATAAAACTTGTCAAATAGATGTAATTCCACGAACTTTTTAGGTCGGTTTTTTTTATAAAAAAAGTTATAATTATAGATTTACGCTTAAGTATGTGTTGTTTTTAATGTAATGTGTCATTTTATTTTGCATTTTCATTAATTTCAAGATTTTTTTTATCCAATCATCATATCAGCTGGAAGACATCCACTGCTGAACCTTTTTTTTTTTTTTTTATATATACATGACAGGCAAATGACTCCACTGCACCTGATGTTAAGTGGAAAGTGGTATCCAAACGCGAAGGAACCTAGTGCAGCGATGGAACCCTCACTGCACTAGCCACCTCCACCCTGCCTGCCTACAATATGCCTCTTCACGCCTCGTTTGAAGGACCCCATATTATAAGAGGGAGGGAAGACATGTGCCGGAAGGGAGTTCCATTTGTCAACCGTGCGGCAGAGAAAGGAGCCACCGAACCTTTTAGTACGCGATGGAATGCGGCAGGTAGTGAAACGGTGACTACGAAGGCCAGCACGCGTGCTTCTGAGCAGGAACGGGGAAGGGGGGATGAGGTTGAACAGCTCTTCAGAGCACTCACCATGGTACATGCGGTAAAAGGCGCTAAGCGATGCAACATCTCTACGCAGTTGCAGAGGTTCAAGGCGTGATGAGACCTCTTCGTCGCCTATAATTCGAGTAGCACGACGCTGTAATTTATCCAAGGCATCGAGTAAAAATTTACAGACCTCCAGAGAGATTTTCAGATCTAGGTAACCATGAGCGGTTACCGCTGCTCTTACCAGGTCATCCGTCCATCTAGAAGGGGGCCGTCCTACTGAACGCCTTCCGGCTCGTGGTCTCCATTCAAGAACCTTTCTGCCCCAACGGCCGTTAGTTCTACGAACATAATATTCGTTATGTCCAAACGAATATTATAAATGCGAAAGAGACTCTATCTGTTACATTTTCACGCCTAAACCCCTCAACCAATTTTGATAAAGTTTGGTATAGAGATAGAGCGGATCCAGGAGAATGACATGGGCTACTATTTGTCACAAAAATAAACCTTAAAGGGGGTTTTTTTTATAATAACCAAGTGACGGCACGAACAAGTCTTGCGCCTGGCGGTAAGCGACTAGCCTATCCATAACAGTTGCAGTGTCACTCAAAGCTTTAAATCGCAAAGACCTTAGGGGCACTGCTAGTGCGCCCGTCAACCTGAGACTTAAGTTGACAAGTTCCATATGCCTGTAATTTCACCAGCACCCTTTAGCGCCCAGTTACACGACCCGAAAGTTTTCGTGCGGCCGCCGCGCGGTAACCGCTCAGGTACTGCGCTTTCACGTAAATTAATGGCGAATTAGAATTCGATTTATATTTTCTTATTTATATTTCTATTAATACACAGTAATGTTGACATTGGTAACTTGTCACAAACTGTAGTTTATTTTTTCCGGAATAACGTTTGTTCGAATTTTCATTACCCTGAAAACCGAATTATAACGAACCCTTTGTTCTTTCAGGATGTGTTGGATGTTTACCGCAAAGACATGATTAGGTTCGGTTAAGTTAGGTTTAAAAGTAAAAAAAAACCTTTGCCTCTCAAAATTACTTTCGAGGTTATGAAAATTCGAGCATATGTTATTTCTGGAAAATGTAATTTCAAACTTATGATAGGTAACCGCGCACATTACTTGGCTTGGCGGCAGAAATAAGTAAGGCTGCTGGACGAACTCTTTCACAAGGAATTTTACTGCATTAAAAAATATGGGTGATGTGAAATAGGTGGTGAAAGTTGGTATGGAAAACTAATAAAACTATATTGATATTTTCACATTGGTTACGAACAATTATTATTGAGATATAAATGATCAAAATTTCTAGCACTTCTTTATTTTCAGAAGAGTAAGGCTCATTCTAACCTGACAAGCGTCGACACCTCCAGCGAGAATACTAGCACATAGCTGCTGTTCTTTCATTCCTTGCCAGTGTCTATTCGCTAATGGAAGCAGCAGTTTATCACAGGTATTCGAGTTCAAAATATCAACTTCTGCTGCTTGGAGAGTTGGTGATGTTGTGCGATGCGCTGTAAAAAGAAGAAAGTATATTTGATTACTCGTTTGCCATTAATTCAGTTTACAGGAACACAGGATTTAAATGTATATTTTTTCCGGCTGGATTCTAACCAGTGCCTTCATCGTGGCTGACTTTCTCCGATGTTCGGACTTTTTATTAATATTATAAGAAACTAGTGGAGTAATTTCACAAAGAAATAATTGAATATCATTACAGCAAAACATCGTGATATACAAAAAACTTAACATTACAATTATTAAAGAAACATCTTTGTTTAGCCGCTGGTAGTTGGCTGAGTGAAGAAAAACTTTCATAGATAAGGATAAAGAATCTTATTAAATAACCTTTTATTTATATATATGCGCCAGACTATCGCAAACTGTGATATTATTGTGTGCTTACATAGCTTTAATTAAGCTTAGTAGCGCAAGTTAATCTAAGTGATACCTAAACAGATTTCAAACATAGATGGCGCTATGGCAAAAAAGTCTTTAAAATCAGAAACAAACGTCAGCAACAAGCACATAGAACATTATGTAATGCCTGTTGGTTACTGGTCCATTTCGTAGCTTAGTTTTTATCCACGATTTAAAAAAAGAGGTACTCAATACGTTTTTTTTGTATGTATGTTATGTCGTGAACCGCTTTTGATGATTTTTTTTTTTTTGAAAACAGGGCACCTCGATAGTGGTCACATTTAAATTTGGAGAAAATATTCCATCTCTAAGGGTGGCAAACTAGGGGTGATTCCGGTTTGGCGCACTTTCCGGTAACCGATTTCAATAAAATTTGGCAAAAAGATGTAATTCCACGAATTTTTGATTTCGGTTTTTTTAGTACGCTGTACAAAGGTTATAATAATTATAATTGATTAATAACCAGTTTCAATAACTCCCCATCCAGTTAATACGGCTTTAGTTCCAAGTGGGCTTGTATCAAACGTTCTCCACAAACAAGCTGGTTGGACGTATTTACTGAATTTCACATCTTTTTCCAGTACCATTAGTGATATATCATTGTATTTATTTGGCGATTTATACTGGGGATGGTTGATAATTTTGATGATGTTGACATCGTTTGGTGGAAAGCCGTTTAGTTCCTGAAAATAAAATGTTGAAATTTAAATTTAAATTCAATTATTTATTCATCAAGACAACACAGTACTGCCGACGGCCGGCTTTTGAAATATAGTTATTAGTTATGCAAGGCTGCAAATTTGTTAGTGAGGTGAAAAAAAAAATGCTTATAACGCCGCGATCAGTAAAAAAATTGGCGTTATGCCACTATTTTTATTTTTTCCTTGGGGGATACGTATGTAGTTTTTTCTTTTTTAT